CAGAAGCTCTAAGAGGAAGAAAGAAGGGATAAATAACATTATGGAGATTTGAAAATGCCACAGGAAATCATATTATGTTTACATTAAATTACATAAAGTATACACACACACACACACACACACACACTTTTAGCCATACAGAACCATACAGAACCACTGGCAGGAAGCAAAAACACAAGTTTGAAGCCTAGTGGGTAAAGGCCAGCACCAAGCATGATCCCTGGGACCTAGATTGTGTTAAGACAGAAACAACTCCAAGGTGCTCTCTGACCCTCATCTCCACCCTTCCCCCAAACAGAAAACTATTTTAAAAATGTGATTAAAAACAGCAACAGGCTTTTTAAACAAGCCCTTGGAGAAAGTATGGAGAACTCCAAAAAGACAAAAGTCAAAGCATAGAACACTTGAGGCCTAGAAAATGCATGCATGCATACAAATAGATCCAGCACTGCTAACTCAGATCCAAGACTTCTGAAACCAGGACTTCATGGAACTAAGAATCTGGTATAGGGACTCAAAAGCCTCCTAAAGCACTCATGTTTTATGAGCACCCTCTAAGGAAAAAATGTAAGAGAGCACTATGTACCACATTATTTAGGATACAATGCTGCAAAAGACCAGAAAAATAGTAATCAGTAGAGTGAAAGTAGTGCTTTTATCCTTCCCAGAAATATTTGGCATTTGTGCAATAATTACATAAATAAAATATCTTATTCCTGCCCTGACGACTGCTACTGAAATTAGCAGATATGCAAGGGAACTTTCACTTACAAAATTACAGCAATCAAGGCAAGATTTAACAGTAAGAAAGCTGACTCAGATCATGATCAGCACTGTAATCATTCAGATAGACACAATTAAGAAAAACAGTGAGAATATACAACAAAGTTAAGGTCAAATGGGGATGAGGGCACCCTTGAACATTCTATACCAAGTTTCATCTTTAGAGTAAACTAAGTTTACAAGGAGAAATATATGAGAAGACATGATTTCAGGAATCATTTTTTTTTCCGCAATACTTCTCTTACTCTCTCAAGATATTGATTTAAGAAATGCTTTTTTTTTTTTTTAATCAGCTTGAGGTGCTAGTTATAAATTTTAAACCTTTTCTAGGGTAAAAATTTTTTTTAAAATAACTACACAATAGCTTCCTCTCTCCCCACACCAAGTCAACCTCCTCACATTCAAGACCGTGCCTCATAAAGTAAGCTGTTTAAACCAGGATACTCTGGTGGGATGATCACTGTGTGTTAAGTGGAGGCTGTAGTTTCTAGCTGTATGTATATGTATACAATGGCTAAAGTAATCTTTGGCAAAAATGATTTATAGGTTGGGGTCTTGAATACCCTAAAATAAAGGGTAAGCAGTCTAACCTATTGGGTTACTTTTAGCATCCACAATCAAGTTAGTTATCCCAAAACAAATTTTGGAAAGCTATCCTGTATAAACTAAAATAATAGTCTTTTTCTCTCTAATGAAGGATCAGCATTTAAGATCCTATTCCTTGAAACTGTTATTTGTGTGTGTGTGTGTGTGTGTGTGTGTGTGTGTGTGTAATATTTAACACTTAAATGAAAATGTTAGGATTTTGTTGACCACTACTGTGTAATTTCCATATGACCTATAACAGAAAAAAGTGAAATTCACACCACTAAAGCTCATCACCAAATAACCTCAGGCTTAGTGTTACTATAAACTAAAGGGACACCTAACTATAGGCAAAGGAAGCACGTCCCCTAAAGTACTGTTTACATGACAATTTTTAATGGGTTATTTTCATTTTATTATTTTCCCTTAGGAATCTGTTATATAGAACAAAAAAAGCAAAGAAGTTATAGAATAAAAGCAAAAACATACTTTTGGATAAAAAATGGGATTACAAATACAATTTGAGGACCTGGACAAGTAAGAGTAGCATACTAATAAATGGATGGTTTAAAGTCATGTACAAAAACATGATGGATTTACCCACTATCTTCAAAGGAATAAAAGAAAAACAAGCTGTTTTTTCTTCTGTTGCTTTGCCAAAGCAGGTGCGCTCACAAGACCAGTATAGGATTGTGTTATTCTTCTACAGTGGGAAGAAGATATAAGAGAAATGACTGAAAGCTAGTAGAGCTGCATTCAGGCTGGCTCTTCATATACAGGAACAAGTTTTGTAATGGGTTTTCCTATTTACTGGTAGTTTTGAAGAAATTACCAAGTTGGCTCACCAGGCCCTTTGTTTTTGCAGTCATTTCATTCATATATTCATTCAACAAATATGTATTACAAGCTGGGCCTTGGGCCTAAAAACATAAAGAAAAGTGAAAAAAAAAAAAACTCAAACCATTCCCACTCTAGTACAGATCAATGAAAAACTAAGCAAATAACAAATATACCCAAATACAGATGACTTGTAAGAACTCTGATATACATTTGGAGAAACATATGTAAAACTATATTGGTCCTAAATCATATTTGATGTTCTCAGTGGGAGTAGGTAAGAGATACAAACACAAAGAAAAGTTCTGAAATACAGTTACAGAATAGCCACCCTTCTGTTACCCACATGTACATCATCTAGTTACAAACTAGAATCCCTCTGCACAATATTATCTTGAAACACACTTCCTGCCCAATCTTTCATTTGAATCAAGAAATAAATTGTAGGGGATGGGGATATAGCTCAGAAAAGTACTTTTCCAGTTTATATGAGGACCTACTTGTTCTCTCTCAATCTTCTAAGTGGCCCCCACCCTCCCAAACACACAAACACACAAACACACACACACACACACACACACACACAAACTTACCTGCTCTTTGGGATTCACTGAGAAGGGTCAAACAGTACTAGGAGGCACCATAATGGGTCCCAAAAGGATAACTAATGACAATTATTTTAGAGATAATATTTCAACTATTTGAAATATTTTCACTTGGCTAAGGATTTCATACAGTAAGTATGTTTGGGTATCTAAAAGCAACACGTTGAGATTAGAAGGCGTTCCGTGAGTTGTATGGAGATTGTAGGAACTAGGATGGAAATGAGACTCTAAGACTGTTTGCTATTAAATGGTTCCAAAAAGAATATTCACATTTTGATATAGATTCCTAAAGCATAGTTACAAATAAAACAAAGTTGCTAACCTTAAGAAACTTGATATACTGAGTAGAACACAAAGTCAAGCAAACCAATAAAACCATTTACTTTTTTTCATTTTCCATTACATTGGGTTCTTTGTGTAACTCTAAAATGATAGTACTTTCATGGACTTTGTGCTTAGTCTTTTCTCTGCCTTTTATTATTATTCCCTGGTGATAATTATTCTAGAAAAAAAATAAGTATTACTGCCATGATGGAGGCACACATTTTCACCTTCTTCAAAGACTTCTCTTTATTGATTTGGGATGTGTCCCCTTGAGTAATACCAGACACTTCACAAAGAATGTATTTTGGCGTACTATGATCCCTCAACCCAATCTGTCCCAGTGAAAACCCAACAGCACCATTATTCCTCCTTCCCCCAAATCAAATTTGTGGAATCTGTTCTTTTGAGTCTTCTCTATCCCATCCACTATCCCTTCTCTTTTATCATACTATATCTTTCTTGAAATATAAAGACTATATAAACACTTAGGTTTTTCCTAGTTCATATGGTAATAGAAGTATGAATTTTGTCTTTGCCTCTTAAAATCTGTAAAAATCCAGTCTACAAGGACCTCCATAATCTAAATAGCTGTCCAATCCTATCCTGCTGCTACCAAGCCCCCATATTCCAGATGTTAAAATGCTCATCTTGTCTTACTATTATATGCCTAATCCTTTATCACATATCATAGTTTTGGGACACAAAGTCTCAGTCCAAAATGTTCATTTATACATAAAACTGCTGTGCTTTGCATATATATTCCAATTAGATCCTTTCTATGTAGGACACCTTAGTTGAGGAAAGCAGCTCTGAATCAATCTGAAGCATCTAGCAAACAGTGTTTATTATTGGTGTTTGAGAACAGCAAACACCAATAATATCTGAAAAATGTTTATGAAAAATTCAAACTTCTGTTAGATTAGGATAAAAGCAAGTTTTAAAATCTTTACCATGGAGATCTTTCTTCATCATAGGTATTAATCCACATTTCTTAAATCCTTTGCATAGGTCAAATGAGTAGTGTTGCTGGAATGAAGAACAAGCCTTTTATTTTAAAACCTGGTTTCTGAATTTTTCTGGTGATCAAATTTCAAGCTTCGAAACTTTTCTGGTCATATTCAGGCAACAAATAATTCACTTAAGGAGCACCAAACAGCCCACAGAAGTGAAATGTTAAATGACCAACTCTTAATTGAATACTTAAGTCTTCTTCCTGCTCAGTCCCTCCTTTGGTGACGTAAAGCCTGAATGTGTGATCTATAGCAACCTAACAAACCCCCACAAACTGTGGTTCTTCAGATTTAACAGCTACTTAGGTACTATTGCACACAGGGAATCAGAGAAAGGATATTGTCTTATTTATCACTGTTAGGATTATGACAAATGGTGGTAGGGAGTGGTGTGTTAATAACTTTCAAGAATTTACCTTCTTGGCAATCAAAATTGCTTGGCTCCCAATGTTTCTTATCCTGAACGCTTCTTTACTGACAACACTCACCTTCTAGGTGTCTGGCTTAATAAAAAAGGTAATTTATGTAGGTTATTTTTCAAATCAGCTGATGGTTTATTTCTAATAACAATGATAGATGTATGACTCGTGAAAACTCTCCCCTGGTGTTAACTGTACTTTATTCTGCTGCCAAAAGCCACTTTAGGCATATCTTACCTTGGAATCCTTGCAAGAGTCAATTGCTACTTTTTTTGTCACCTATAATCTAAAGACCATGAGTAAGTTTCAAAGTATATGACTGTAAAGTTGCAAAGTTCCTGGCATATTTTGAGACCAATAACAAGAAATCTACGGACCAGTATCTTTTATGAATATAAATGCAAAGTGCTAAACAAAATACTATCAAACCACATCCAGCAGCATAGAAAATGGTTTATGTAGCATAGACAAGTGGGGTTATTCCAGGAAATGCAAGGTTCGTTCAATATACAAAAATCTATCAATGTAATACAACATATCAATAGAATCAAGGACAGAAACTACATGACAACCTTAATAGATACATAAGCATTTGACAAAATTCAATACCCCCCCTTTTTTTTCATAAAAAAACATTCAGTAAAGTAGGAATAGACGAAATTTCCTCTATTTGCAGCATCTATGAAAAACCCACAGCTAACATCATATTTAATGGTGAAAGACATAAGGCTTTCACCGTAAAATCAGGAACAAGAAAAAGATGTCTACTCTTGCCACTTCTATTTAATATTATACTGGATATGCTAGCTAGGGCACTTAGGCAGAAAAATCAAATAAAAAGAATCCAGAGTGGAAAGGAAATAAAGGTATTTATATTCACAGATTCACAATCTTGTATACAAATAATGGTAATAGTAAATAAAACAGAATCAGCTTAAAATAGCTAAGTATACAAAGTCAATACACAAAAATCTGTTCTTTCTAGATGCTAGCAATGAATAATCCAAAAAAATAGAAAAAAATGTTTGTAATAGCATCAAGAAGAACATCTTTGAAAAATATTTAATCTGAAGAGTCAAGATGTATACACTTAAATCTATAAAACAGCATTAAAAAAAAAACAGACCTAAATAAATGGAAAGACACTCCATGTTTATGAATTAAAAAATTTAATACTGTTAAAGTACCAACATACTTCAATCTGATGTATCGATTCAACACAAAAACTATCAAAATCTCAGGTGCCTGCTTTGCAGAATTTAACAGATGAATCCTAAAATCCATGTGGAATGCAAGGGACCCTATAAATGATCTTGATGTAGAACAAAGTTAGAGGACTCACACATCCTAAATTCAAAAATTATAGAATTACAGTAATTAAAACAGTGTGGTACTGGCATAAGGAGATACATAAGACAGTGGAATAAGGTTGAAGAGTCCAAAATGAGCCATATTTATGGTCATCTGTGTTTCTTTTTGACAAGGATGCAAAGCCATAAAGAAATTATTATTCTTTGTAAGAAATTAGTGTTTGTTCTACTAGATATCCACATACTAAAGAATGGAAGTAGATCCCACAATGCACCACATGCAAAAATGGATCAAAGTCATGAATTTAGGAACTAAAACCATAAGATGCTTACAAGACAGAAGAGAAATGAAGACTTAACATGTACACAAAGTATTCATAGTTGCAATATTCATAATATGCAAAAAGCAGAAGCAACACAAGTCTCCACAACCCAATGAAAACAAAACAAAACAGCATATCAATACAATGACAATATTCCGTCACAAAAAACAGTACCAATACATGCTACAACAGAGATGCACTTTGAACTCATTATTCTGGGGACAGACAGTGAGTAAACAAGACAAAAAAAGCCACATATTGTATGAGTTCGTTAACATAAAATGTCCAAAATAGGAAAATTCATAGGCATAAGTAGATGAGTAGTTGTCAGGGGCTGGACTTATGAACAGTCACTCCTAATAGGTACAGAAAACTTTAACAGTGATGAAAATGCTCTAGAATTAGATAAAGACAATTTCACAACTTTGTGAATATAACAAATTTTACTTTTTAAAATGGTGACTTTTATACTATATGAATTTTATCTCAAAGATGAGGGAAAGCATATCTCTTCCACTTAAAGGTTGATGAAATAAGGTCAACTTTTCCAAATGTCCTTATTACAGACATCTCCAATATCCTGGTATTTTTCTTTTAGTTAACAAGCAAATGTTGGGAGAACTGCTCTCAGGATATTTTCCAAAATGTTATCTACCATCTCCATGGTCATTTCATTGAAACCACACAACCAGAGATAAGGTAGGAGTGGGCATAATTCACATCAAAGGAATTATTGGGCCAAAACTAAAATTCAGAGTCATCTGACTGAAGGCTATAACATCATCCAATGTGTACTATTTTCAAATACATTCCACATCATTTCCTATAAATTTCTGAGGAATGGAAAATAATCTGGATATTAAGCCCAGGTCCCATGCATGTCAGCCTAAGAATCTTAATTTGATATTTGATTTTTTTTTTCAAGTGTAAGATGACAAATTTTATGCGGTCATGTGGGCCTACCCATACCACCAGTCATCCTTTTTCCTGGCTGTATGAGCTCTGGGAAGGTGTATAACCTCTCACGTTACAGTGACTGACCTATTTTGGGAAAATGCAGGACCATGCACAGTACTTGATAGTCACTGAAACTTCTCATCAGAATTTACAGGATTTTGACTTGCAATGTAAATTTGACTCATATACATTTACGGAGAACAGCATCTGAAGGATTGTTTCATGACAATCTGGGGTATTAGAAAAAGCAGAATGATTTAATGTACCAGCTGCCATCTTTGCTAGACTAAGGGGAAGAGTGTGAGGGGCATAAAGGTGGCTCGTGATTGCCAGAGTGTACCAGAAGACAGAATGTAGAGTTACAAAAACATCTTGCTTTCAATTAGTCTTTTCAAATTCTCTGACCTCCTTTTCAGTTGGCTGATATGATTCTGTGATTCCAGAAAATCTCTTCAGGAAATGTGTGTGTGTGTGTGTGTGTGTGTGTGTGTGTGTACACACACACACACACACACACACATAAATACACACTGTTCCAATAAATGTGGCCCATCAGGCTGTGCACCATGAATACGCAGGCTACTATTATACTATGGAAGCATACTAGAGCTAACAGAAGTCTTCATGAGCATGATACTTTTAAAATTTCCAACTTGAAGAATATTTGAGTTATACAAAGTAAGCCTAAGGAAAGGGATGTCGAGTAGGGATATAGAGGAGACACTAGAAAATTATGCAGTAATCCATCTGTACAGGGCAGTAGTTTTATTCAAAGGGGAAGTAATCATTTTAAACAAGAAAAAAAATAAACTATGCTTTAGGAGAATAAAAGGAATTAGAAGTAGCTAAGAGTTGGGGAGATAACCCAGGTAAAATAAAGTTAACAGAATATGCTTGAGAGAAAATAACTGACAATGTGTAACAATGTAAGGGATGAGAGAATTCATAACTATGATAAAGATGAAACCTTAAAAATAATTATATGCATAAACTGTGCAAGCGTTGGAGACAACAAAAGCCATGGCATATGTGGTAAGGTCAGAGGACAACCTTGTGGAGTTTTCATTCCTTCCATGTTTATATGAAGTCTGGGGAGAGTATTCAGGTCATCAACTTTTGTATAATGATTACCTTTACCTACTAATCCACGTCTCCAGTCCCCCAAGTTGACAGTTATAAAGGAAGCAACAAGAAATGGCTAGGAGGTTTAAGAACTACAGGTACTGTTCTGTACTGTATTGACTTTGAGGTACCAGAAAGACATCCTGGAAATACAGGTCTGGTAAGATAAATAATTAGAGAAAATCTTTGAGAACTACTGGGGTTGACCAGAATGTTCAGACATTCTGTACATGTAAGTACAATCAGAAGAGTGTCCACACGAGGTATAGATGGATTGGGATGGGAAAGTTGGCAGTTCAGGAAGCAGTAGCTCTACTGTTTAGGGCTACCAAGTGCTAAAAACAATAGTTCTTTGTTCTGGCAAATAGGAGACTTGGTATCACTGCAAAGGATACTTTCAGTGAAATATTACTGGATTAGTGCTATTTTTACAAAATGAAATCCAGTACATACATGCACTTAAACCTTCTTGTAACTTATCCAAGGCAGTTTAATGATTTGAAAGGAAAAAATGACCTCTGACTCTACTGTGTAAACATCTTCTCCACCAACACTGAGTTGTTTTATACTCTGACACTGAATAAGAGAAAAGAGAAAAAGCAAGTGGAAGTTATTATTATTATTAATTTACTCTGGTAGGCCTGGGAAGGGTAGAAAGGATAAAGACAGACTTAAGAACAAGCAATTAAAGGGATGAAGATTACACGAGTAGACTCAGTAAAACACTTCTTTCTCCAGATTATGTGGATTCTTTAAAAAAAAAAAAAAATTCTTTGTAAGAGGTTGAAGTTTCAGCATAGCCATAGAAACAGGAAATGATGCTGCCTAGTAATACATGTGCCACATGGTAACATGAACAAGTTCTCTGAAATCTCATTTACAGGTTTCTTTTGTTATATACCTTCCTACACAGGGATGGATTTTCAAACATAGCTAAGGTTATTATAATTGAATTTGATCGCATTATTAACTGTAGACCACAATATATACAATCAGACACTCAATTCATTTGCTGCAGCTGCCAAGCATCCAGAGAAGTTTCGCTGCAGGGTGTGCTTTGTAAATTTGGTATGTTCTACAATACTAAAAGACATTCTTTTACTCATAAGACATTATTCCATAACAATCTAATAAAGCAATAATGAAAAGGCGGCCATAAAATGTGGCAACATGACAAGAAAAATTGATTAGGAAGCAAGTGAGTGTATTTTTACCTCTTAAAACTTTGTAGGGATTTTTTTTTTCACTTTCTATTAAATATACTGATGTTACTTCTGTCTGATAATTGATAGTATCACTTAAATACTTTCACACAGATACAGTATCACGACTACTTCAATACTGTAAGAGTAATAAACTTGAGAACTGAAGAACACAAATCTCTTCATGAATTTATTTTATAAAATATACCCACTTCATTTGTCTTCTTATCACTTTCATAATACATAAGAAGCACAGTGGATGAGATACCCTTTAAGATGACTATAGTCACATTTAGGGGTCCTACAATCAAGGTAGCATACAAACCACAACAGTGTTCTAAAGGCTAGCCCAGAAAAAAAACCCACATTACCTTATCACAATATGGAACGCACGGTGTTCTTTTCTTCCCATTATAGTTTGTTTTTTAAGCCACTGTTTTATTTAGCATTACAGTAAATAATACTTCTATCTAAACTACTACAAGAATGAAAATAATCCTGAAAGACATCCTTCCCCCCCTTCCAATGATCTGAAAGCTACATTTTCCCCTGCCAATTTAAAACATCAGATTGATTTGCACTAGTTTTTAAAACAATCAAGGCACAAGCTCAACATGTTAGCTGTGTAGCTTGTAGTAAAATGATATACCAGTATGCCTCTCCTTAGTTAAAAATACATAATTCTTTTATTTTGTTATGCAACAAAAGAAATTAACATCACAGACATAGAAGACTAGAGATGGAAAACTACATGAAATATCCAGTAATTTAAGCCTATTTGTACTTTTCTATAGGACATGTAATCTTTAATACTTTTGAAGTAAAATTTAATTTGGGAGATATACAATGTAATTCTCAGGAGAACTAGTTTCCATTCATTTCCAGGCCTGTTTACTGTATGACTAAGTAACACAAGGCACAGTAGCCATCCTTTCTGTTATGCTGCAACACTGATCGAGTGCCTTGAAAAATAGTTGATTAAACAAGATGATGGCAACAGAAGGGGAGACTTTGGATTGTCTATTTAAAATCTAGGTTATAATAAAGATTCATTTTAAGTGCACTTTTACATGCTTATTTATACAACAAACTTTCTAATTCTGTTTCAATAGGCTTGACTACCCTATCATTTGGCCAAATGCACTTTCCCCAGTAAACTTAAAACACCAAAAACATCAAAAATAACAACAAAAAAATCCCTGTCCTTTCATATACTAAGAAGATTGGCTACTGAAAGAGTTCATTACAAGACACATGAAGACAACATACTGTGGCATGAGTTGTTTTAATTTGTTGTGCTGTTACTAAAGTAAATTCTGAGGGCTGTGGTTCAAACATTCCAAATTCTCCCTTCCATCTTTATTGATTCTCAAAATTTTGTACAGAAAAATTCTTTGGGGCTAGAACAGCAGTACTTGCACCACACTGTTTCCGAGACTTCAAGTTTCAAAAGCAAATTGTTAGAAAAAAAAAAAAGTTCCTGATTTGAGTTAAATACAGGGACTATTAAAAAAAATAGCACATCCTTGAAGATTACATGGTCTACAAATGGTGGCAATGTTTTCCTTGCGAGAGTAGTTTTGTTGGTAAATATATTTTAAATATTCAAAAAGGCTCAACCTCAAGCAGTAATAAACACAAGCAAAAGTGATTTAACCCTTAAAATAAATATTCAGAAAAACCTCTCTGTACATACAAGTGAAAGAATATGTAACACTTTCACGCAAAAAAATAATTATAATAATAAAGGATTTGTTCATATATGTAGCTGAAATCTGCTGTTCCAGCCCACAATGTCCCCAATGAAGAAGGGAGGCACAGACATAGATGACTACTGTGGTTCACTATCTTACAGCCTTTTGTACTGGGACACTATCACCACCAAATTATCCCTCTTATTATATTTATTAAGTTTTTAAACTTTTTTCTTTTTCTTTCATTTGCTTGTTTGTTTACAGCATGCCAAATCCCTTGGCATATGTGATGGCCTTCAACAATCTCTCTTTAAGTTTTTCTTTGCTTGAATATTCCGGAAGTAAAAGGACATTAAAGCAAGTATGAGATGTAGGTAACCTAAATAGAAAGGGAAAAACAGGAAAATTGTAAGTCATAGGAAATATGCTCAGTGCTAAATGCTCCTATTAGATGTGTACCTAGTTAATATGGTTTGTAATAAGAAACTATAGATTAAATAAACCATAAACATGGTGTTGTTTAGCTACAAAGATCAGTTGGTCTTTATTCTATGAAACAATGCAAATATGATGAAAGCGATGGTGATTATAGTAATATTTTGTACCTATTTAGTTTCCACTGTGAGCTACTGCTTTAGATACTTCACCCTTGAAGTTTATTTAAGCCTTCACATAACAAACATACCAAGGTATTACTAAATCCATTTAAAAGCTAAAGTCATAAAAAAATGTTCTCTAAATTTGAAAACATATTCAAACCTAATTTTAAGGATTTCAGTCTGTGCTCTATAATATAGATTAAAAATACTGTTGGCAAAATAACAATGAAAATGGCTGAATGGTAAATGTAAATTAATTAAAATGTGAGCCATAGGTATAAAATGGAGAATTAACAGTAATGGATATATAATTGTTCAAGTATACCAAAGTCAACATACTACTAAAGATACAGTTTCCAGCCCCACCATAAAATAGTGCAGTATTTAGTGGGAAAAAGATACAATAAAAGGTCAAAATTATGAAACTCTTGTTAAATAAGGCTTTCTCATATCAGCTCCATAATTAGTTAAGTATGCCAATTTTTAAAAACTTGCCTCAACATTCTCCACTAATGTTTTGTTGACTTGTATATTTCTATATAATATAAGAAAAGTACACAGAGGCTTAATGTTGGCTCTGCTCATGTGTGTAGCATGAGGTAAAAAGGTTTACAGAAGGTAGAGAATTGCAGCTCAATAATTACCTTTCTGTGTCCGGGCCATTTTTGGCTATAATCATCTTCAATTTCCCCAGTCCTCCAACAGGTGCTCTGTCTGTGCCTGTTGTAAACTGCAAGAAGAGTCTTTTCTGCTCATCTGTAAATGAATGAACAGTTTCCCAGAACTCCCTAATGAAAAAAGATAAAATACTGTTTTTAATTTGACATTCATTACAAACAAAAGCTCACAGTACCAACATCATTAAGGACCATTAATGTTACAGTGAATGCCAATCTCACCCAGAATATATTATTTGTCATTCTTTCACTGTGCTGTTTACTCATTCCTTACTCAACTTAGTGAAAGCAAGGTGGTAACAGATTTAGATTATAAGAAAAGCAAATTAAAAAAAAAAAATCACACTTAATAGTAGGAATATAAATGTACTTTCTATGTGTTGTTTCTGAGCAAAACGGTTATATTAGTATTTATCCCACATGCAGTTTCTTAGAGATAGAATATCTGGCTGAGTAAAACCTATATGTTTATGTTACTCTAAGCTCAAAAAACAACATGGAAGCTCATAATGAACAATGTTTATTTGCTTGAATTAGCTATCTTTACAATGAATATAGCACTAATTCAAAGCTAAAAAAATTGAGATTTTAGAAAAAGTTCAAAATTATTTTTAGTTGGCAACAGAATGTATTTTATGTTTTATTTTAATGCTCTTTCCACAATAATCTTAGAAGAGGGCTGGATAGATTATTCAGGATTTAAAGGCACTTGTTATGAAAGCTGTCAACTTCTTCATTATATATTTTGTCATCTACATTAGCTCTATGATATGTAAGCCCATGTAAGAGCATGTGTGCACATACACACAGAGTACATGCACATACACACAATATATATATTAAAATATATATTATATAACATATACTATATTTTATTATATATCTCAAGAGAAAGACATCACACTTTCCAAGTCTGTAATTGGAGTTCAATTTGTTATACCTCACTCTCCCTTTCCCAGGACAGAGTTTCTCTGTGTAGCCCTATCTGTACTGACTCACTTTGTAGACCAGCACTGGGGAGGCAGTCAAGTACACCTCTGTGAGATTAAGGGCATGCACTACCATGCCTGGCCTCTCCTATACTGTTATTACCCAAATGTTGGTATTTTATTGCTGTAAATAATTACTTTGACATTAAACATATATTTCTAAAACTTCAATTTCCAAAAGTTTTGTAACATTTCCAGGTTTTCTCGAATCCTGTGTCATTGTAATGGCCTAACCCCTCCTCCTCATCCCCTTGGTTCATGCAAAACTAACACCCACACCGAAGAAATATTAATGGGATACACAGCCAATAGGAAACTGGACAAGGAACTTGTACAAGAATTCCTTGCACAAATTTGAATAAAAGGCATCTATTTGTAGAGTTACTCTTTGGGGCTTGGCAGGAAAAAAGTAGTCTACAGCACCCTGAGATTTCCGCCAGGACAAAAATCCTATGCGGGTCTTAGGAGCTACTGGCTGTTGCCAAAGATTTTCTTTTGTGGTGTGTCCCTGGACTACGTTCCAAATGATGGGTTAATATGCATTCAGACTTGGGTGGTACTAGTTCTGTACTCAAGGGTTTACTTTTTAGAAAGGAGGCCTAAAGTTGGGAGGATGTGTAAGGAGTAAAATGAATCTGATAGAAGTTGGAAGAGAGTATGAGGGGTAAATATTATCAAAACACAATGTACACATGTATGAAATTCTCAAAGAATAAATTATTTTTAAAAATGGTGGGAATGTAAACTTGTACAACCACTATGGAAATCAATCTGGTGCTTTCTCAGAAAATTAGGAATAGTGCTTCCTCAAGATCCAGCCATACCATTCCTAGGCATATATCCAAAAGCAGCTTAAGTACACAATAAGGACATTTGCTCAACCATGTTTGTAGCAGCTTCATTTGTAATAGCCAGAACCTAGAAACAACCCAAATGTCCCTCAACAGAGGAATGGATACAGAAATTGTGGTACATTTACACAATGGACTACTACTCAGCAATTAAAAACAAGGTAATCATGAAATTTACGGGCAAATGGTGGTATCTAGACAAGATCATCTTGAGTGAGATATTGCTCACTTACAAGTGGATACCAGACCTAAAATATAGGATAAATATACTATACACCTAAATATACACCTAAAGAAGCTGAGCAAGAAGGATGTCCCTGGGTAAGATGATCAATCCTCACTCAGAAAAACAAACAGGATGGACATTGGAAGGAGAAAACAGGAAAAAGGACTGGAACCTATCATGGAGGGCCTCTGAAAGAGTCTACCCAGGAGGGAATCAAAGCAGATGCTAAGACTCTTAAGCAAACTTTGGGCAGAGTGCAGGGAATCCTATGAAAAAAGGGAGATAGTGGGACCTGGCGAGGATAGGAATACCACAAGGAAAGCAACAGAACCAAAATATCTGTGCACAGGGGTCTTTTCTGGGACAGATACTCCAACCAAGGACCACTGATGGATATAATAACCTAGAACCCCTGCTCAGATGAAGCCCATGGCAGCTAAGTATCCAAGAGGGTTCCCTAGTAAGGAGAATAGGGACTGTCTCTGACATGAACTCAGTGGTGGGGTCTTTAACCTCCCCAACCCCTGCCAAGGGGGGAGCGGCCTTGCCAGGCCATGGAGGACAATGCAACTAGTCCTGATGAGACCTGATAAACTAGATCAGATAGAAGGGGAGGAGGACCTCTCCTTATCAGTAGACTTGGAGAGGGGAATGAGAGGAGATGAGGCAGGGAGGGATTGGAAGGGCATGAGAGAGGGGGCTACAGCTGGGATACAAAGTGAATAAAGTGTAATTAATATAAAAAATAAAAATTTAATTAAAAAAAGAAAATGTGGCAATAAAAGTTACATGAATGTGAAAGAAAAAATTTAAAGCTATTCTGCAAGTTGGGTAGCATGAAAAAATAGAAAGGAAAAAAAAGAAAAGAAAAAGGCTTCTCACACTGTAGTAAGGCTCTGAAACTAGACCTAATCAATCATCTACGGAGGAAAAACTACAAGCATCATGGAAGATCATGGAGAAAGTAGATAAATCATGGTGACCAGGTCTGGTTATGTTATTTAAGAGAAATGTTGCAATTGTTTTTATTATAAGAAAAAAAAAACCTGAAAAGACCACAAATTCTACTGGAAAACAATTGCTGATCAAATTATCCCTTTGGTGTTATGCCTGACACTAAAATCTTTAATTAAAAAATATGTATTTAGAATGGACAACATCCTATTCACATTTCCAAAATCTATGAGAATCTTCTGCTAAACCAAGAGAAAACTGTAATAAAAATAACTATCTGTAATCCATGCCAACAAGAAAACTGGGAAAAGATGTTCACTAACCCTACATGTGACAGAGGGCTAACATCCAGAATATATAAAGAACTTAAGAAGTTAAACAGCAACCAAGTAATCCAATTTAAATATGGGTTACAGAGCTAAACAGAGAATTCTGATCTTAGTCATTTCTTTTTGACAACTACCTAACATTTCTATTTGACAACAGAGAATTCTCTATAGAGGAATAACACTTAAAGAAATGTTCAACATCCTTAGTCATTTGGGAAATTCAAGTCAGAAAAACCTTGAGATTTCACCTCACACCCACCAGAATGGCTATGAAAGATCAACTACTTCAGAAATGCAAAGTACAGAAAACGTTAACAGAAAGAAACCTTTAAAAGAAGTGACAGAACTAAGGTATAATTAGTAAGAAAATTTAAAAGTTATACTAAATATAAAGTAAACCTAAATTTAAAAATATGTGTAAGAGTGAATATAAAAAATTTAGAATCTTTTAAAAAGCCAATTTAGAAAGACTGAAAATCTTCAGAATCAAAAAGCAATTGAGTTGTACCATGCTAGACAGTCTTTCTGATTCAAATACACAGTCTTACTAGACACTGAGGAATATTCTCCTATGACTTGTTCTGTCCCTGAAGTGTGCATTCCTGTCCTGTGAGTCTTAAAGACCAGTAAGTAAGGCCAAGATAACCACACAGGCTGAGGTGCAGCTAGAGACACCAGCAACAGGAAGCCTGCAACAAGCTACATGAAGATATTCCTCAACATGCAAATAGCTGGGGAATATTCTTCCTCTATTCAAAAACAGGATGTATATACAGCTCAGTTGAGAGAAGACCAGAAAGGAACACCAGAAAGCACACCAGAAAGGACTAGGAGGAGCCTGGGTATAATCAGATAAACAAAACAGTACAAATGAGAACCAAAGTCTAAGAACATCAGCTTGTTAGTAGAGCAATTTACAAAAGTGAAAAACCAAAACAGAATAAGGATCATAAGTCTCTTGACTTAACAGTGGAAATGTTGAACAACAAAACCTACCTATCGACTAGTATTCATGGTACTTAAAGGTACTCTGCACACTACCAATAGAGAACATCAATTCACCTAAAAATCCTTTCATCTATACAAGTGATCTGCTTGCAAGATACAAGAGTGCAATAGTGGCATAAAGCTTGAGTAACCAAAAGTATCTGATCTGATATAAGGCCCACTCAATGAGCTAGAACTCATATCCAACATTTCTTGGATGACTAAGAACTGAGACCACATGGCCCAGAGACCTAGAGGCTAAAGGAATTTAGTAATAAAAATGACTCCAAACAACATTTTGCTACATTCATAGAGCCATGCCCTGTTCAACCATTATCAGAGAAGCTGATGTTCCGTCTGCTGCAGGAACAAAAACAGAGACCCACAGGGAGAAAATATGCAGACAGTGAGAGACTTTGGAATACTCAGGCCTAAAAAGGGATGTCTCCATCAAATGACCTCTCCTCTCGGCTCAGGAAAATCTGTGGTTAAGGAGGACATCATGTAAAAACCAGATGAGGATGGAATCAAGGGTTTCTTGACACTACAAGGCTGTTACACATATAAATGCAGAGACTAGCAGCATGCAGAAATGGTCTGCACTGGTCTGTACCAGATGTGCTGCTAAGTTGAAAAGTGAACGCACACACCCATACCTAATCCAGAGGCTATCTCCAATTGGTAGCCACTTGTAAACAAAAAATTAGTTTTCTATAAGGGAGTTTTGCTGGAGAAACATACCACTATTAGGGGAGAGTCCCATTCTCACCAGCAGATGGCCTACAAAAAACTAACTCAAAGGCCACTACATAGGTTCTCTGTCTCAAAATGTTATGTCAGGGTATTTCCCGCCCTATCTTAAAGGTCCTTTGATTATGTATTATGGCTTAGAATTTTGCATTTTTATGAGACTTATGCAAATGTGTGGCTCTACATCTATATGAGTATGTGACTTTTTTCTCTGGCTCTTTTTCTTGCTGGGTTTTTTTGAAATATCCCAATTTGTTTGTTTATCTTTACTGTACTATTATTCTTTAGATGAGTGTTTGCTTTCTTACAAGAGACAGAAAATATTTGGCTCTAAATACAAGGCGAAGTAGGGAAGACCTGGGAGGGTTAAGGAGAAAAGAACCACAACAAGAATACAATACATGGAAAAAAATCCATTTAAGATGAAAAAAAAAAAAAAAAATCAAAAACCAAAAACCAAACAAGAAAACTATGAAAAGGAAATTAAAACAACTAATGTCAACAGAAATAAATAAGATGTTTGAATTATCTGAGAGGTTTTTAAAGAATTGAAGTAATTAAAAGCTTGGTCTCAGAAATAATACATAAGAAACATGTAATATTTAAATGTATCCAAACTAAACATATTATTTCCACACTTAAATTATAGAACACTGCTGGAAGAAACTAAGTTATAAATAAATGGAAAGTTTATGTCAGTCACGCTTGAGGTTTAGAAAATCCAAACTGATGAAAATGACAATTCTCAAACTAAAAGCAATCCAAATCAATATTTCAAAGAGTTTACCTTATTCATGTAAAACTGAACAAATTTTAATATTTATATTGAAGTAAAAGTAATGAAAACAACTGAGAACAATGACAAAATGAAGGGGCTCACTCCAGCTGATTTATGGACTTGTGCCTTAAAGGTAAAGGAATCAACAAGGTGTGATTTTCACCAAAGAACAAATGGATAAGCAGAGAGCAAAACCAACTCTAGAATTAACTCACACAAAGCTCATTTTCAATAAAACTGAAATTCAGTGAGAAAACGAAAGCGCCAGACGAGAAGAACACATGTATAATATGCTAGCAATGATCTTTTATAAAGAATATATTTTAAAAGAAAAAGTTCACAATCAATGCAAAGAAAAATGGGGAAGACGATTCACAAATGAATGGCTAAAAAATAAATACCTAAATCCAGCTAAAGATCATGAGTCTTCAGAGATATACAAACTTAAAACTTTAATGAAATTTTACTTCACACTCCTCCAAGAAAATAAAGCCAAAGATAAATGAGATGTAGAGCTGAGTGCTGGCACTGCCAATCATCCTAGGGTAAAAGAGCAGTGCCATTTCGCAACAAAATATTCTTGCCATGCTTCTTAAAAGTTAAAAATGTATGTACTATGCAACAACCTTCCACCCATTTGACTGTCCAGAAGAAATGAAAACAATTCGACAATAAGAATAGATACCTTTATTTGTAATAGCAACAATCTAAAGACAATCAAATCGCCATCAGTAATTTAATAAGCAAACATCATACAATCATTTAAAACATTACTTTGCCTTTAAAAATGCACTAAATTAGTGCAATAATGGATGAATTTCAAAAATGCATACTTTGTGATTCCATGTATATTAAATTCAGAAACATTAAATAGAAAAAGAAGAGAAGGAAGGAAGGAAGGAAGGAAGAAAGGAAGGAAGGAAGGAAGGAAGGAAGGAAGGAAGGAAAGAAGGAAAGAAGGAAAGAAGGAATAAAGAAATAAGAGAGAGAAAGAAAGCAACCTAGTTACTGTTACAGAAATTTAAACAGTAATCAACTGCCTCTCAGGGACAGGAAACAAATGGAAAAAAAAAATCACAGGTACTTGGATAACAGTTCATATCTTGATGTGGTAAGAGTATAATTATCTGAATTTCCAAATTGTCTAGTAAACTTCTGCATATTTCACTGTATTTAAACCTTATCTCATACATCAGTATTAGTATTATGACTAAGACCATATTGGTAATGTTTAGAGAACCATTCTTTTCCATCTTTCTTTTTTTTTTTTTTTTTTAACAATTTATTCACTTTGTATCTCAGCTGTAACCCCCTCCCTAAAACCCCTCCCAATCCCACCCTCCCACATCTCTTCCCATGCCCCTTCCCCAGTCCACTGATAAGGCAGGTCCTCCTCCCCTCACTATGAGCCTAGACTATTAGGTCTAATCAGGACTGGCTGCAATGTCTTCCTCTATGGCCTGGTAAGGCTGCTCCCCACCTCAAGGGGAGATGATCAAAGAACCAGCCACTGAGTTCCATTCTTTAAAGAGCAATTAAGCTACCACAAGATTTTGGAGGGGGAAAAAAGATAAATAGTGAGAAAGATTCATTTATTCTAAAATACATGAGATAATTTTTCTAGGGGAAGAGAAGATTATTTTAGTGTTTGACTTTTTACAACTATAAACTCCCAAGTTTTCACAATATTTATACTGACAAAAATCAGAACATTGAAGTAGTTTCAAAGAGTTTAAGATATCAGAAACTGTTAAGTTTGAAGCTATGGTACTCTTCTAACTTGCCTGCCATGAAACTCTGAATTCACGGATCTTAAGGTATGCAGTACATTAGAATGGTATTGCTACAAAAGTACAAAACTTTAATTTCTTAGATAATTTATTCAGAAGGAAAAGTCCAAGATATTCTACTGGTCTAAAAGGAATATATTGTGATGTTAGTATTCTCTTAGTAATTCTGTAACAAGCCCTATCTTACATCAGCATTACTGTAGCGATGCTACGATATTAACAGTAAGGCATTCCTATTACCATGTTCAACCCTTTTATGGATCTCTTTTGAAACTGATCAGCAATATAATGGTTGCCGTAAGTAAACAATTTTGTTTTGTTAGAAAGCAAAGCAAAAGTAATCTTCAACAAACCTAAATAACAAAAAATTCTGTAATATAAAACTATTAAACATAATGTATCATTATAAACATAGTTAATATTCATTCTGTTGTTCACATACTTGAGTCTTACAGCTCTAGTGATTTTCCAGAAAGGTACTTGTATAAATGCCTCTGACTTCATGCAAACAGTGGATGGCAAAAGTACATCGCTGCCATTTTAACCACTGTCATTTGGAGATTGGAAAAAAACATTCTTTCAGAATTGGATAGTAACACAATACAGAGAAGCAGACACATTAAAAAGGGCATTTGACTAGAGAAAGTTAGTATTGGTACTAGTGTCCTGAAAATAGTTCATAATTATATAAATACATGGTTCTTCCCAAGTATCTAAAAGACTAAATGTACTATTTTACAAATTACCAAAAATAAACTAAAAGCAGGAGAAAATATGAGACTTAAATCACTTAATTCATGAAATAAATCATTAGACTATATGAAAACTGGTAATATAATTAAATTTACAGGTCTCAAAGGTGTAAGCCTTTGAGCCTGTTTGGGAACCAATTCCTACAGATACAGGACTGAATAACAAAAGTACACATTCACTTCTTTTATGAATAAAATCTTCCTTTTTTAAGAATTAAACACCTCACCTAATCACAACAGATTCTCTGGTATAGCCACCGTCATACTCTGTAGTTTCTTCTAGTGCCTGGAAATCTAGATTCTGAAAATTATAGAAAAAAAAAAAATACACCTTAACATCTAGAGCACACCATTAAAAAAAAAAAAAATGATGAGGTTTGTTTTTTTTAAAGATATCTTTCTTACCCGGCTTCCGCATATAAGCAATTCAATTTCTTCTGGTCTGAATAAGTACTTTAAGGGAGATTCATTAGTCACCATATGAAAACCTCTGCGAAATGCCTTGAATTGTTTTTCTACTGATTTATTGAGAATATAGTCTGAATAAAGATTGACAAATTCCTGTGGAAACATTAACAACAATAAATTACATGTTATACAGATCAATAAGCTCCAAGGCTACATAGTGGTTTTAATCCCAACTCCCAAAGAAAACCTTCAACAGTATTTTTTTTAAAATACATTTAAAAAATAAAATTTGTAGAGAGTTAGTTCCGTAGTTAAGAGCATTAGCAACTCTTAGGATATAAGTTTAACTTCTAGAATCCACGTGGCAGTTAACCATCTGCAAGAGGAAATAAAATAGTCATCTGAAGTAAGTGAAGGGAGGGTACTGGGTGGGAGATTAGGAGGGGAGCAGGGATGGGGTCAAGGGTGGGAAGGGGCTAAGGCTGGGAGAGACTGGAAATAAATAGGAGGGTATCTCTGGGAAGGGGGAGGCTTCTGGGTGTCTATATGAGTGATCTAGCTGAGACTCCTAGGAGCAGGACATATGGAGCCTGAAGGGACTTCTAGTGGAGGGAGAGGGACACCAGCCCACCCACAAAACCTTCAACCCAAATGTGCCTTGCCTACAAGTACCACAGGGATAAAGATGGGTCAGAGATCGAGGGAATGGCCAAACAATGACGAAGTACAATTTGAGACCCACGCCATGAGAGCAAGCCAACCCTGACAATAGTAACAATACTGTCACTCTACTACACTTGCAGACAGAAGCCTAGCATAAGTATCTCCTGAGAGTATCCACCTAGCAGATGATGGAAACAGATACAAAACCCACAGCCAGACAACAGACCCAACTTGGGGAAGAGTGTGAGGGAAGGTCTGAGGAAACCAGCAGAACCAAGGACACCACAAGAAGACCTACACAGTAAAATAACCTGGGCCCATGGGGATCACAAAGACAGAACCAACAGCCACAGAGCAAGCATGGGCAGGACCTAGGGCCACTACACATTTGTAGAAGGAGTGTAGTTTGTTCTTCATGTGGGTCCCCTAACAGTAGAAGTAGTGGCTGCTTCTGACTCTATTGCCTGCCTCTGGATCACATGGGCTTCCTTGTCTAGCCTCAATGGGAAAGGATGGGCTTGGTCCCGCTGGGAATTGATGTACCAGTATGGGCAAGTTTCCCATGAGGGTGCCCTCCCATTCTATGAGAAAAGGAGGTGGGAAGGGGGAGAGTGGGTCATGAGGGTGGGACTAGGCTGTCTCTGACAAGAACTCAGAGGCTGGCTCTTTGATCACCTCTCCCTGAGTGGGAGCAGCCTTACCAGGCCACAGAGGAAGACAATGCAGCCAGTCCTGATGAGACCTGACAGGCTAGGGTCAGATGGAGAGGGAGGAGGACTTCCCCTATCAGTGGACTGGGGAAGGGGCATGGGAGGAGAAGAGGGAAGGAGGGTGGGATTAGGAGGGGTCTATAGCTGGGATACAAAGTGAATAAATTGTAATAAAAAAAAAAAAAATTTAAAGAGAACCCCCCAAAATGTATTCTGTTTCCTGACAGTATAATATTTTACCAAAAAATAATATAAACTTACATGTTTCTTAAATTTACTCTATGTACCATAATTTTCTTATTGTGCTCAGAATATTTCCTATTCCCAAATGGATACCTTTTTAAGTTGACAGAAACCAAATGTAAAGAATAATTTTTAGATATATAATTAAACTTCACATGAGAAGTATGTCTACTACTAAATAGGTTCTTAATCACTAGGACCTGTAGACCTCTAAGGTTTAATAGGGTAATGCCCTACTTCTGGTGCTGTGCTATATTTACCTATATATTTACCTATTCATTCTCTCCTAGTCTGTTTACTCTTTCTTGAAAGGAGAATTAGCAGTTAACTGTGTACACTCACATTAGCTATTATCTAAAAGTTAGCAAACTATAGCTTTACTATTTAGATTAATTTGTTCACGTGGACATTTTTTTGTTCCTGCTTCAAACCATATTAGATAATTCTTTGAAAACTTTGCAAGAATACTGATTTGAAATTAGATATTTATGAAACAATAACATAAAAATTTTATTACCTTCCTGTTTTCATTTGTAATTGGAATTTTATCACCATTTTCCTTTAGATCATACATCATTGGGTTACCAAAAAGATCTGTTTGTGATATCTGGAAAGTGATCATCATATCATCTTCCACATTCCCTTCATATTCCAGTAAGTCCTTTAAACTCTGATATAAAACCTAACAAGAAGAGAAATGAGGTTATCAAATAACTGGTAAAACAAATTTAAAAGTATTTTTCATTTTTTTGTAGAAACAATTTATCAACAAAAATCATCCCCAAAATATCTCCCGTCTTCCAAGTAGTTTAGTAAGACAGAAAAGGCTGTCATTGATAATAAGTCAAACTTTGCTTGGAAATTCTTCAAATCATCAATTCAGCAACAGATTTCATACTGTGCTCTAGAACATCCAATGTTTTCAGGTTGGGAGCAGGTACCAGGAAAGAAAAACACATCAGCTGTATCTATCAAGGACTAGGAAATGCACATTTTCCTAGGCAGACTCGGAGGTTACACTGAAAACATAATGCTTCCAACATTTCATTATGAGGTCAATCAAAAGATGCATGACGCAATCTAGAAAAAACATCCTAAAAAAGCAACACAATTTTAAGTGTTCATTATACTTAACCAGATTAAAAGTACATTACCATACTGGATAGCAATGTCATCAAAAGATTCTAAACAAAAACATTTTTATATAAATTGAGATATATTTCTGTATTTAGATAATATCTTAAAGACTATTTAAAGAATGACAAACAACTTACAGGATGAGAGTCTCCTAAGTCACGAAAAGTTCCTTTTTTCCCCATTAGCTTCCTGTAGACAACCATGGGAAAATGGACATCCAGTATACAGTTATTGTAAATAGCCAGACCCAGGACTATGCCAATCAGAGTAAACTGACCCTCAGTTTCAAAAGAAGATGGATTAAACCAAAATAATTTTGTAGCTTCGTCATATGTGAACATACCTATAAAAAATAATTTTTAAAACATTTGTACTTTTTTAAAGACTAATATATTTAGATTATTAATTTTGAACAAAAATCACAAATGTAGACCTTAAATACAGTAGATATAATTATTTCTATTACATCTATGCGAAAAAACTGCATACATAGTATCTTATATTAATTGGTGGTATAAGATTCAGAGAAGCTGGATGACATTTCTGTAAAGGTCTTTTTATAGTTTTATTATTTTCAAAGGGTTTTTTTTTTTGCAATCTTTGACAAAAATTATTTTACTATCATGTTATCCACTCAATGACTGAAAATTGGGTAAGAAACGAACTTATGATCAAGTAGTAAAACAATTCGACAAAATTGAGTAACTTTAAGTTACTTAAGACACATATCAAGAAGCCCATAGGCTGCTCCATCTCCAAGTGGGTTCCCTAGTAAAGGGATCAGGGGCTTGTCTCTTACATGAATTCAGTGGCCAGCTCTTTGATCACCTGTCCCTCGGGGGAGCAGCCTTGCCAGACCACAGAAGATGATACAGCCAGCCCTGATGAGACCTGATAGTCTAGGGTCAGACAGAAGGAGAGGAGGTCTTCCCTTATCAGTGAGCTAGGGGAGGGGAATAGGTGGAGAAGAGGGAGGGTAAGTGGGACTGGGGAGGGGGAACAGCCAGGATACAAACTGAATAAATTGTAATAATACATACATACATATCAAATATGAGCTAATATACTTTAAAAAAAACATTTTGTGATCTTTCAGCTTCACATAATCTTCATTACTCAAAGCCAAACTTAGACATTTTTCTATCATCATTACTTTACATGTGAGCATTAATAAATACAGATTTGTCTTTTTAAAACTGAACATGAAAAAATTTTACAACAAATTTATATGCCTTCTAATTTTTCTAAGTTTATTTTCACTTGTTTTGTAGGAAAACATTTTAAACAATGTCTAACATGCTGGGGGAAAGAGAATTTCATACCTTACCACTGGGTAAAGTAAAACAGGAGGATCATGCATTTTAGGACAGAAAGCACTAATATAATTTAAAAAGTCTATCTAAAAAGCCAAAACCAAGACCAGTTCTTTCAAATTCACCACTGTAAGGTTTTTCAAATTAAACTTAACCAATACCAAGAAGTAAACTAAGGAAGAACCTGAACATATGACAGAACAGTTCCTGAAGCAGACATATTTGTTATCTGTAATTATAGGTAAAACAGCCAATTCTTTTGCTATTTATTTAGCTGAGATTATTTCTAAATCAAGTTCATAATTCAAAAGACTAACATACCATAATCACAGCACTAACACTTACCAATATCTGGATTAAAGATTTCCTCTACAACCAACTGAAAAAATTCTTTGGAGACACCTCCTTCATCTACTCCCTGCTCTCCTTCAAATTCCACATACAACTGCTTCTTCAAGTCTGCAGGATTTTCCATAGCAATCATCTCTAGCTGTTGGTTGAAAATATAAAAAAAGAGGACCATTGTTAACAGGATGAAAGCAAAGTACAAGCAGGAAAAAATACGCAGTTGTAGGAATCAATTTTGTTTCTGAATAGAAACAAGAAGCAAACTGGTAGCCCCAAAAGAGTATGCCAGAGTATTGGGGACATAGATTTGTTGGTAAAAATACTTTATCTGCAAGCATTAACACCTTACTCTGAATACCTAGCAGCCATGTAAAATTTCTGGCATGGACACTGATGCCTGCAACACCAAATATAGAAATGTGACTTATATATTGTTTACTAATAGAAATTATAGTAGACATATAAATTATTATTATAACAGGCAAACAGTTATGCCTTTCTGTTATCTTTTAAGTGATGTGGGCTGGGGAACAAGCCAGATCTCTAAAGTGTACTGGTTAGCCAGCTTAACCAAAATGGTGAGCTTCTAGTTCACTCAATAATCTTATTATCTAAAAACAAACAAACAAAAAAACACCTGGCATCATACACTGGCCCTTCCACATGTTCACACATGGGTATAAACAGCAGCACACTCATTCGCATGAACCAAACACATATATCACATAACATATATACATAAAACCACCACTGCATAAAATGGTTACTTCTAATTTTGGTAACTAAATTTTCTACTATGTTTTTTATAAAATATAATAATACATTGGTATTTAAAAGCTAAAAAAAAGTTGGGGCACCAAAATGTCAATTCATTTGGCTAGTCATGTTAGCAAAAACAAGTACAGAAATGTGACCAATCCATTGCTTACTAGTACAAATTATTGTAGATCTACAACTAATTAGAAAGGAAATACAAAAAGTTAAGCCTTCCTAGCTGTCATATTATAAGTGAAATAATTTCAATTAAGAAATATATATTGGAAAGCGAGATGTGGTTGTTCAAGCCTATGAGAGAGGAAAATCATAAACCCTAGGTAATCCTGGATTACACATCAAGACCATTTTGTTAACACAACTACCCATCTGCCAAAACAAATTTATAATTGTAGCTACTTTTTGGTGACTTATAATGTGACAATATCTACATTTTTCACAAAGGCAGGGGAAACATATACTTGATAATTTCTTTATTCTTCATCTAAAAATTAAATAAATCTGATCCATTAGCATTAACTTCAGTCTACTATGAAATTAATATTAAATTCTAAGGTGTCATATTTAAAATGTAAGTTGTTTTTAATGTACCTAAACTTTGCAGATAATATTCATAACTATTCAAATTTTTTCAACATTGTTTCCAAACATCTGCTGGCTTTAAAAGAAAAAATGTAACCTTAAAAATCAAAGTTTGACAAAACATTTAAGGATATTAAGCTTTTACTAACTATTCTAAAAAGGAATTTAAAATGGCTTTGAAAAGTGTAAATGGCACTGGAATAAGTACATTAGATTCTCAAAGCAAATGCTATAGGTAACAGTCCTTTTTCTATATTCTAATATTTATAAAAATTTAAAATTTCATAAATTCATGATCTGGCTTGGTTCTCCTAGATCTGTTTTAAAAACTGCTAGCTGCAATCATTTAATGATCTGCAACCAGTAAGGATTAAAAAAAAAAAAAATGTAATGTACTCCAAACTGTAACAGGACCTTCTGTTTTTGGCAAAATTTATTTCAACACACAGGTATATACTGTGTTTACAAAGCAATAAATTTCTTAGTAGGGGTTGTAGCCAAAACATTTTTTTGGGTGGGTGGGGGGGAAATGGTTGAAATTACTCCCTGGATATCTTCATCTGAGGGTTCTAGGCTCCTACAAATTTACTCTTAAAAGAAGCTCTGTTTTGGTCTTCTTTATATCATTTGTATGTCCAGTGAGCAAATAGACGTGTGCTTCCACCTAAGATGTTATTCCTCAGGACCTGTCCACCTTGCTTGTCTGGAGAGGGTCTCTCACTGGCAGATAAGGTTACGCTGCACTATCAAAAAGCCCCAGGCGTCTGCCAGGACTTGCCCATCTGGAGTTGGAACTACAATGCACACTTTATTTTCATTTTCTTCAACAGGATTAAAGTGGATTAAACTCAGGTGTTATAAGCACTCTACTAACTGATCTACCTTCTCACCTCAAATACATAATTTTCAGGCCAGTAATTATAGAATTCATTTTTCATGTAATTTTGTTACTGAACGTAAGAAACTAAATACTCTTTTACAAGTCCCAATTGTAACTAAAAACTAACATTTAACTATTAAGCTTCAGTAAATCAAGCCTACTTTCTAATGTACTAAGAAATAGGTACTACTCTTTTTACTACAAGATAATAAAGACTTAAAAATATATAATTTCTAAAGAGCCTGTAAAATTATTAATAACATATTATCATTTAAAAATATACATTATTTTTAAAAATTCATAATTTTATGTCCCAAAAGCTCAAAAGGTAGATTAGTTCTGAGACTACAAAGCCAAAAATATAGATTCAAAATTAATCTTGGAAATGGAAATCAGAACTATGACAACAGTGCTAGCTGGAAACCTGTCTTAAGACAGAATAACTTTGAACCGTAAAATTTCAATGATCATTTCAGTTTAAATTTGGTCCCACCCAGAATACTATTATTATTATGCGAAAACTTAATAAAATTTAAGAGATTTTAAGTTAATGACTTCATTTGCTTTTCCATCACTAAAGAAAAATGGCTGTGATCAAAATATTAGTTAGCAGGGAAAAATCCAATATTATTTGTGCATTCGCTTGCTATTTCTTTTAAAACATGCCGATTACTGATTCAAAGGCTTGCTGGTACTTAAGACAGAATATGTCTGTCCACGTCTATCAGTCTCTACCCTTTTCCTGTCAATTCTGGTTGACAGAAGCATTAATTCAGTAAGTTCTATTGTGATCAATAAAAACATAATTTTCTATCTTTTTTACTTTGGTTTAAAATGTAAAATAAACATTACAATACGTTATCAAATAAATTAATAATTGAAGTGCTTAGATTAATTCTCTACCATTGAGTCTAAATTTGTGGCTTTCTTTTAATCCCTGCATGCAAACTCTGTGAACTTAGTACAGTTTAATCTATCTAGAAAATTCCATATAGTGATTCCCTATCTAAAGTAAGATTAACAAATAAGTATTTCCAGTTTTTTCAAAATGTTTAAACAGGAAAATTTTAAAAACAAAAATATTCCAGGAATAAAAGCAGCAGCAGCACTATATAAAATTTATGGATCATTTTAAAAATAAAACTGGTTTGGTATCTATAAGCACCTAGCAAGTAGGCTGCTACAACAATATTACAGATGGTCCATTGAGTAATGAAAGGCTCTATTTCTTACGAGACAGTACTTCAGAGAAGAGAGGCTATAATCCAGGCAGTAAGCTTTAAACCATGGTTCAACTACTTCTGCAATGAAACTAGACATAGTATATTTTCTACTTTATGTGACTTTTACTTTCTTCCTTGGCTTTCCATATTTTTAACAACACTCTTAAATTTTTTTTCACAATCAGGATATATTCATATGTTATGATTTAAAAAATAGTTGGCAGCTTAATTCTGTAGGTAAAAATGTCCAATTAGCTATTTAAGACCATTCTCAATGTGCCAAAGTTGATTTTGTAAATTCTTATCTTGGTTGAGGATAATGCATTAGTAGCCTATTTAAAAAAAAAAAAAAGCAAAAAAAAAATGTAGTTATGGAAAAACAAAGCATAAATTTAATAATAACCATGGACAAAAGCCATTTGCATAAGAAGTCACATTAAATTTTCTTTTTCTTAAAAACAGTAACTGTGGACAGTAGTGATATACATCTTTAATCTCAGCACTCGGGAGGCGAGGTAGTCAGATCTCTAAATTTCAGAACAGTGTGGTTGGTCCACAGAGTGAGTTTCAGGACAGCCAAGGATGGCTAGAGAAACCCTGTCTCCAAAATACAAAATCTAAAACTAAAAAGTAGCACTTGAAACACTAACTTCTCTGCCCCCGACATACATACAATACTTAAGCCATTGTTGCATCAACCAAATAGTGTAGAACCTAAAAATTACTGTTATATTACTTTATTTAAAACTTAATTTGTAAAGTAATTTGTTTAATATGTAGTTGGATATATGAAAACTGTTGGATATGCCAATTTCAATTCTGCAAAAAATCTATATGCACCCTTAACCTCATTTATTATACAGTAAGGGATTTTTATATACATACTTCTTGAAGTATAATATAAAATAAATAGTATTGCCTTCATAGAAACCACTAGACAAAATTAAAATGCACCGGTATTATTATACTGTATACAGTAGTAACTGCCACTTCCTAACTGGACTTCTTTGCTTATTAAAAATTCTTGTTCTCACTCACTGTTCAAATAATTTCCTTAACTTCTAATTGGTAGCACAAAATCCTAGAGAGATCGTTATTTATAAGTTGACCTAATAAGAAAGCATTCCCAAAACTCTAAATAAAATTATATATTGATAAAAAAAAAAAAGCATTCTATTCCCATATCGTTAAAGGTCAAAAAAATTTTTAAAGTCCATCTAAAACCTGAGTTACTACCTCAAACACTATGTTGATAAAACTGAAGAAAAAAAAAAAAGGCCTCCTAATCATATGATTATTTAAGTAAAAGCAGCACTTGAATTAGCTCTATTTTAAAATGTGTAGACTCTTAGATGGGTAAAGAGTAGTAGTTTATATACTTTGGTAGATAAATAAATTGATCACAATGTAATTGTCTTGATGAATTTCACTTTTTCATGTTCTCTGTAAAACAATAAAGACCAGCCTCAAGTTTAAGTAGTTAAGGGCTGACTCAATTGATTAGATCTTAGGTTCTAAGCCCAAATATGACATTCATTTCAAGTAAGAATCTCTCTAAATTCCATTTTCCTACAACACTAAGAAGTTTGGTGAATTTCATTCTTTTAAATTATATTACGCTAAGCCATTATGATACCAACTACTTCATTTCTCATTATGATTCTGAAAAATCACTTTGAAGATAAGTGGGGATTCCATTCATTTTTATTAGATAATTTTAGTAACAACTGTATTAAGAACAATTTAATGATTCCACAACAATATTAAATATACCTAGAACAGCAGAGAAAATCCCATTATTAAAGCGCTGTATGACAACTAATAAAAATCAAGTTTGTGTTGCAAAAGAGTAATTACGAAAGCCGAGTTAGAAAATTCTTTTAGACACCCTAATAAAGGGGGGCTAGTGACTTTGAGAGAAAATTGGGCAGCAATTCAAACAACTTTTTCTTCGCATTTTTTCATCACCTGTGTGTGCCAGCTCCTGTTTTATTTTCTTTGTTTTTAGCTTTTCTTCCCAGTTCTACATCTTAGCCATTCCTATTAGTCTCCAGGTTAACTACAGAAAATTCTAGAACTTAATCCATTTAATCAGGTCCCATAACACCAGCAACCTATATTTTAGTTACTCTGACTTCATTATCCATTTTAAATACTGGCAATATTCTAAACATGTAAATAAAAATAGCCAAAATCATATATAAACTGTACTAACCACCATCACCAAAACATTGGTTTAGAGCACAAATATATCAAAATATCTAAACTGTAGACCTGTTGGCTTCATATCAGAATTCCTAATCTGAATCCTTAAAAGGCAAGACCCCAACTTTTATTGTTGTTTTTGTAGTGTTCTTATTTTTGGGCAATTTTCCCCTTTAAACTGTGAAGTGAGTCTAAGCATCTCATAGCTGACAATACGTTTCTTCCTTGATACATTTGATCTTTACTTCTTTATAAAACAACCTTTAAATTTTATATACGTTACATCTTTCAAAATGCTTTGTTTGAGAAAAAGAGGAAAAAGAGAACATCTGTAATTTATTTACTGTGTAGTACAGGGACATGTATGCCATAGAACAAACATGAAGGCCACAAGATGAACTTTGGGGGTCAGAACTTTAGTACCATATTTGTTTTGGGGATCAAACTCAGCCATCAAGCCTGGTGGCAAATGACTGTATCCACTAAACATCTCATTAGCATTTCCCCTTCTTTTACTTATTATTTTTTTAAAGACTTTGTTAAAACTTTCACATTAGGATTGTTATTCAAATAGAACCTAGTTCTCATTAATATTTATTTCTGCATTATTTTCTAAGCAAAACAAAAAAAAAAAAACAAAAGCAATTAAAACAAGACTCAGAAGAAATATTGCAGTTATTTTTTTTTGGAGGAATAAAATTGGGTTTTTAAAACCTAGTACTTTATAAGGTTTTTTTTTTTTTTTAAACAGTACCTTATACTTATGCACCGACTATTCTCTTATCAGAAAGAGATTTCCTCTAAAAGTACCAGAAAGACACACATGGCATATACTCACTTGTAAGTGGATATCAGACATATAATATAGGATAAACATACTAAAATCTGTATACCTAAAGAAGCTAAGCAAGAAGGAGGACCCTGGGTAAGATGCTCAATCCTCATGCAGAAAGGCAAATAGGACGGACACTGAAAGAGGGAGAAAACAGGGAACAGGACTGGAGCCTACCACAGAGGGCCTTTGAAAGACTACTCAGCAAGGTATCAAAGCAGATGTTGAGACTCATAGCCAAACTTTGAGCAGAGTGCAGGGAATCTCATGAAAGAAGGGGAAGATAGAAAGACCTGGAGGGGACAGGAACTGCACAGGAGAGCAACAGAAACAAACAAACAAAAAACTGGGCACAGGAGTCTTTTCTGAGACTGATACTCCAACATAGGACCATGCATGGAGATAATCTAGAATCCCTACATAGATGTAGCCCATGGCAGTTCAGGTTCCAAGTGGGTTCCCTAGTAAGGGGAAGAATGGCTGTCTCTGACATGAACTCAGTGTCTGGCTCTTTGATCACCTCCCCCTGAGTGTGTGTGTGTGTGGGGGGGGGGGGGGGGTAGCCTTACCAGGCCAAAGAGGAAAACAATGCAGCCAGTCCTGATAGGCTAGGGTCAGAGTGTGGGGAGGAGGACCTGCCCTATCAGTGGACTTGGGAAGGGGCATGGTAAGAGATGAGGGTGAGAGCATGGGATTGTGAGGGAACAAGGAAGTGTGCTACAGCTGGGATACAAAGTGAATAATCTGTAATTTATAAAATAAACAAATAAATAAATTTTTGAGAAAAGAAAAAAAAAAGACACCAGTTGGGGAAGAGTTGTTAGACTGATTTGAATTTAATGAAGCATGAAATCAATGGACACATTTTGCTTAAAATGAATGGCCAGGAGTGTTTGTACACATAAAAATTTAGCACTCAAGCAGGGATGCAGAAACAAAAGGATCACAAATGCAAGGCTAGTCTAGGCTATATAAACATTCTATATCAAATAAAAGTCATAATTTACTAACCTTCTGTCTATTAATCTGCAAAAAAAAACACATATGTAATCTTTTTTTAGGCTTCATTTGTAGACTAAGGAGTAACTTATTATCTCCTACTTAGCTCTTAAGTCTTAGGTACTGTAACTTTTTATTATTTATTAATTAATGTTGAATTGATTACAAAAGTTCTAATTTCTCCTTCTCTATACAACCTTACTATGCAGTTCAAAATGATTGGGCCATAAGAAAGTACAATTAACAGAAATTTTATGCCAAGCTATTTTATGTAAGAAAGACCAAGGTTTAAAAAAATAAAAGGGATTTGTGTAGAATAAGACATAGAAAGAAAGAGTAGAGCATACTCTATCAGCTCATCAATAAGAACCTTTCTAAATACTGCTTGCTATAAACCTCCAACTTTCTGTGTGACAATATAATTACTATTTTCTGGGTGCCATTAATTTGTTCTCTAAGTCCTGTGTCTATGCTTATATTTCTAACACTTTCACACTGGTACGTTGAAAGTGGAAGGAAAATTGGGGGGGGGGTGTTATAAAGGGTTCAGAAAGAAGAAAAAGAGGATATTAAAAAAGGAAGCAAAATAAGAAAAGAAATAAAAGCTGGGTAGAACCCCTAAGAATCAAAAATTCTCTCTGTAATTCTACTACTTATTAATGAGACAGACACACAGACTTGTGAAAGTAAGCTTTTGTAAACTGGTAATAGTACAGATATATAATGTACAGATATATAATGAATTATTATAACATGTCAAAGCATATAACTAGTTGACATAACCAAGCAGTATTTACTAGGAAGAATGTTAGCATAATTATAAGGCTAAATATAATTTTATTTCAATAATTCTTTAGAAAATAAAGAAGAGGCTAATTTTCTCCCAAGAGATAATTTAAAAAATTTACAAACAATATCTACATTTTTACTGGCTCTTAATATCACTATGTTAAGGGGAAAAAAAGAGGAAAGGAAAAACATGAAGAAATCAGTTAAGAAAGGTGAATAATTTTTATTAAATGTGAATTTAGTTGTCTTATGAGTTTTCATATTTAGACAAATCCATCATAAGAAAACAAAACATTTTCAACTGAATATTACTTGTTAGTTTATAGGTTATTATTATTAGTTAGTATATAAGGGTGATACTTCAATTTTAACTGGTACTAAATTTTACATCAAGTTCACTGATAAAAAAACTAGCTTTGATAGGAATAATTAATACTAAGAAATATCCTGAATTTGTTACATATAATTCTGTTAAAATGACTGGCAATTTGCAAACCAATTATGTGGTTTAACTGACAGGGACTCTGCAATTCTTTTCATCTGTGGAATAAAGGAACAGAAAAAGAATCAATATCATCTGAAAATAATTAGGGATTAGAAGTTCCTTCTTTTCCAGTTAAATCTTCTAGATATTAATTGCTATTGCTAACATTAATCCCCAATTCCCCAAAATAGCTACTTTTCCAGAATTCTCTAGACTTACAGTACTACAGTTAAAAAAAAAAATCCTAGTGTCATATAAGACAGTCAATGTCTGAAAACTCCAAACTACCAACAAAATAGACTAACCCTCTCCTGCTATCATATCATCAAGGTCATAATACAACTCCACATAATACAATTCCACATAATGGAATTTGGTAGGCAGCTCTTGTAATTTTACAATAAAGATTTATTATTTCTCCCAATTGCACCTACGCGCATTCTTAGCACTGGTTATCACATTTCCATCTGACATGTGTTCCAATCTTCCAGTCTCTGAAAACGACGAGTCTTTTCTTCTGAACGGAAACACTTGGAGCTGGCTTTTAAAATTTAGAAAATAGATTTCTCTTTTTGCTTTGTGTATGTGTGTGCACACATGTGCGGTATATATGTTAAAAGGGGAAAATGCATATGTGAAGGCCAAAGCAATCAAATATCAGTCCTCGTCTTCTACCTGCTGAGAGAGGGTCTACTTGTTTGCCACTTTATATACTAGGTTATAATCCCAAGCTTCTGAGGATTCTTCCATCTCCATCTCGCTTTAGGAGATATTACAAATGGTTCTACTATTTCCTGTTTTACATGTGTTTAGGGAATCCAAGCTTAAGTCCTCATGTTTTTATAACAAATGCTTTACCCACTGAGTCATCTCCCCAGCACTACAAAACCTACTCTGGTTCAAAAAGAGAATACTCAATAGAATAGACAACAAGTAAAACAAATGTTTTTGGTGAGTACCAGCAAAAGTGTATTAATATAAGTCAGAAATACCAACATGTTCCTATCTTTTTTTCAAAATCACAGATAAAATAAATACACTGAAATATGTCATTTTGTAGCTTTTTGTTTAATTCTGATTTTAAATAACAGTCAAACTTACCCGGACCAGTGCATCATCTATGATATGGTCACGTCTGACTTTGAGTCTCAAATAGGGATTCAACTGCTGTCCTTGAACTAGGCTGTAGAGAACAGTAATTCTTCGTTCACTGTACATGCGAATTCTATTGTCATAATATAATCCCAAATTCTTTGTGACAGCATTCAATATAAAGGGACATGTCATAAAAGAGAATTTGTTCTCTGTTTCAACTTTGAAAAAAGTATAATCTTTATCCATTTCTAGAACATCATTCAGTGGTTCATTAATGAATTCTTCAAAGGAGATAAGTGGTTTTCGACAATCTAGAGTTTTAACACCAAGTTCAGTTTCTAGTGGATCCACTCGAGGACCTTTCTTATTTCTTCTTTCCTCTCCCAAAAGCTCCTGAAGTGTCAATTCGCTGGACTCGGGTATGGGCTCTTCATCATCTTCCTCATTATGATTTGTGTCCACTTCCCCTCCCACCACATTTGCATAGTAAACCATTTTCAAACACTTTGAAGCAGCAACAATGGCATCATCATCATTCACTAGATTTCGGCTATTATATTCATTGCTTATGACTTTGTAAGTAATAAGTTGCTGAAATGTTTCCATCATTCTTCGAATCTGGTCTGCACTGTATTTAGACCAAAGTCTAATCAGTTTTCCTTGAGCTGCAAGGGGTAGCTTACACATAGCTTTGCAAAATAATGGCAATGCCATTTCCAGATATTCAGGACTGTGGAGATTATTATTCTCCATTACAATAATGAACAAATTGAGATAATTAGGATCTCGGGCATACACACTATGATAGGTCAAGTCACATTCCACGTTAGGTGACAGATATACAAGTGCATTGAGAAAGGCAGTTTCTAGTTTTTCATTAGCGAGCAACCTGGTGTAGACCCTTCTAATAGCATCAATATCCACAGTCACTTCATCAGGACCTAATTTTGGTACATTGTTGTCTCCTTGTGAACTATCACCCATCCTTGAAGAAGACGCTTCCGAGTCTTCTTCCATAGCAGCAGCGGCAGCAGCTGCAGCTGCAGCTGCAGCAGCGGTAGCAGCAGCAGCAGCCGCAGCAGCAGCAGCAGAACATGCAGCTTTTTCCTTTTCATCTTCATCCTTGTCTTCATCCTTTTCTTGAAGAGATTTCAATTCCTCCTTAGTGTGTTGTTTGACTTTCCGAAAGCTCTGAACCAACGCCTCAGCACTAGAAAAAATTCTTCCAATTACGCGAATTAAAGGAGAGTAATCCCCACTCTGTCCACATAATTCAAGAATTTCATATACTATCTCTTCAGTTAGGTAATTCACATCTAGAAAATGGAAAGAAAAAGAACATTTATTGTAATATGTTTGTTTTGTCATAAGTTACAGTGAAAAAGTAAACTAAACAATCTGAACTTGTGAGAATTTTTTAAAAACATAACTAATTTAACTATAAACAAACTATACTTACCAATTCCTTTTTCATTCAATTACTAACAATCTCACCCTTTCTTTAGCATTCATTCAACAACATTATATTATGTGATGATAATTAAGACTTCCTTTGTAACAAAGACATGAATTAGAATTAACATTGTAAGATAAACAAATATTTGTCATTTCATCATTATACTTTATTACAACCTAGATAAAGAACTACTACACTAATATCCTGAAAGCATTTTCCTTTGCATTGTTCTCAAAAGACTAAGGAGGCAAGGTTTTATAGCAAGGGTTCCTATGACTCATCATCTGCAAGCAACTCTTTTTCTACTTCAGAATATATTAAAACCAAACAAATGCATGTTATGTATTCCTCATTTCTTCCAGAGTTTCCATTCTGTGACTGAGAAGACATTGCTACTCATGTAAACTCTGAAGTTAAAACTACTGCTATTGCCACTATTACCTGACTTAGGTTCTAATAACATTTAACAGAGAAACTGGAAATTATTTAGAGGCAATTAAAAACAAACAGAATGTAGAAGCTACCAAACCTTACATTTATTTTCTCCCAAGCACAGAATTGGGATAATAAACTTCCTAGCTTCTCTCACCTTCCGGGTAAATATTAGTTCCAACAAAAGTTGAAATGTTACTTTTCACCATTTCAGTTTAACAAAAGATATTTCATCTTACTAGAAAAAGGCATTTTTCTATACAATTTTTTTTAGAAATTAAATTTAAACAATATTGAAACAAAATTTATTCACTTTTGTGAACAAGTTTGAATAAGGAGTAGCATATTTTTTTTAATGAGGAGTAGCATATTATAATCACTAAATATTTAAGGGAGGATAATTTTACAGTCACAATGAAAATTCATCCCATGTTGACAACGTATCATTATTATGATATCTTCATATTATTCCAGGTACCTAATCAATGTAAGAGACAATGTAGAATTCAGGATATCACTGATGGACTGGTTTCCAAAAGTTAAACCATGAAGCACTAAACTTTATGCTCTACAAACCTAATCTACGTACTGTTCCAGAGTATTAACACTTGTTTGTTTTATGATCTTGAGTATTTCCTTTAAAAAAAAAAGTAATACTTATTTGTTAGAGATGAAGGGATAACAGGCATATGGAGGTAAGAGAATAATCTAAAGGAGTTGGTCCCAGGCATCAAACTCAGGTCATGAGGCTTGGCAGTAGGCACCTGTACCTAGCTGAGCCAGCATGCTAACCCAAGCTGTATTTCTTCAGTTTGTTAAAAATAAGTAAATATGAAAACACTAATATGCAGCCTACTTCTCATTATTCTAAATGAAAAATATTATATTCTTTGACCATTCTCATCTATTTAATTTCTCTAAAATGCAACCAAAACAGAGAATATCCATAACAAATGAACAGCCTGTTTGGAGATGCATCACCAAATTACAAGATTATTTAGAAAGTACTTGCTCTATGTACTGAATAATATAAAAACATTCTGCCTAAATGTTCTAGATCCACACACCTTTTGTTTGCAATGTTTTTTCGGCGCACATTCAGCAAATGTTTCTGATATTCTAGAAATACAAACTAAAATGTACCAATACTTGTCCCAAGTAGTATTCTGATTAAAAATGCTTAATTGTCTATCAGTCATCTGCCTGCCTGCCTCTCTCGTCTGTCTCTCTCTGTTCGTGTGTGTGTGTGTGTGTGTGTGTGTAAAGCACTACATCAAAAATAAAAAGTTACAGTCTGGGTATCAGTAAATAGTAAGTGTAGAAACACTTTTTAAGACTCACCTGAGCATTCTAATATATATATTCTTAAAAATTGTTTTTTTGAGACAGTGTCTCACATCTCACAGCGTGTAAACAGACTGGCCTAAAATTCAAGATGCCCCTTCCTTCAGACTACAATGCCACTAGACTGAGCTCAAAAACATTGTTAAAACATGGTATTTAATACTCTTAAAGTACAAAAGTTTCATGCCAGAATTTGTGACACACTAACTGATACAGACATCTAATTACATTGAACAAATATAACTATCAAAATGAGAACAGTATTTGATTAAGCATATAGAATTCCTAATTAAAAATATTAAAGAAAATAAGTAATGCAATAAAAATTGGAGTGATCTATAAAACAAAAACCTGTGAAAAAGAACAAATGGACAAAAAACATGACCAATGCATCCATTATATACCAGATTTTCCAATAACTACTTGCATTCAACCATGGTGGCATAGTATTACTTACTTCACTTACTGTTAACTCTGTGATGCCCACTTTGTAGCAGAAACAGGTATAATGGAGACAACACAGCTTCCACATTCAACATACTGATAGCAATCACCTACTTATTTACAATTTACATGATCAAACTCATGAAACAGGACTGGCTACATATATTTTGAGTAGCAAAGTTGTATAAAATTATTCATTTTTTTCAGATTTCTCTATAATTCCATTGTGGAAGTAACATAAAACTATATAACATAATTTTAATTCACTAATTCATTTAAATATATTTCAAGTGATAGTGGGGCTAAGCCCTGGCAATCTGAAAAATTCAATTATATTATTGTTAATACAAATGACTTCCATTATGAGAAAGAAAGACTAAATAACCATGAGAGAAAGTGGATCTAACAATTTTCAAAATAAGAGGACCTAAAACCCCTGTTCACGTGTGACCGATTTTGGCAGCTCAGTCTCCATGTGGATCTCTGCATGAAGGGAGCAGGGGCTGCCTGCCTCTATCATGAACTCAGCTGACTGCCCTTTGATCACTCACTCTTGATGATGCAACCTTGCCAGGCCACCGAGGGAGATGATCCAGGTAGTCGTGATGAGACTTAACAAGCCATGGGCAGATGGCAATAGTGGAGAACTTCCCCTTTCAGTGGACTAGGGAAAGAAGATTGGGAGAAGAGGGAGGGTGGGACTGGGTGGAGTTGAGGCAGGGGGCTTCATTCAGGATATATAATGAATAAATTGTGAAGAAAAAATTTTTAAAAAGAATTTCAAAATAAGACTCTTTAAAAAAGAACAGGTATGTTGGGGATGTAGCTTAGTTGGTATTGCTTATCCTCCATTTATGTGGCCCCTGGGTTCCATCCTCAGTTCCACATAAACCAGGTATGGTGGTACAAATCTTCAATTTGAATATTGGGGAAGCAGAAGCAGGCAGATTAAAAGCCCGATGACAGTCTCAGCTACCTTGCTCAAAACAACCAAAACAAAACAAAACAAAACAAAACAAAACAAAACACATCCCTAAAAGACCTGAGTAAAAACTACCGCTGATATGTCAGGTCCATAGGCAGTATGAGGACACCAAAGGCTTAAGGTAGAGTAAGCAGTATACAGGAAGAAAATGTGAGGAGGAAAAACCCATTTTTCAGATAACTATTACAAAATTTTTCTTGGCTTTCTAAAATAGAAAACAAACAAGGACTACCTTATATTTGTATTTCTGACTCAAAATTCCACAGCCTCTAGAATTGCAGAGGTCATACCAGTCATTTACTGGATAATATATTTCATAAATTTTATGACCTAATAAGCTATTAGCTAAAACAGAAATCATTTTAAGTTGAGCTCAACTCATTAATATATCATATGCTCCTTATATCTGACAAGTAGCTAATCAATAAAATGTAATAAAGTAACTAATTCAGTTAGTAACTGTTTCAAAAAAGTAATCAATTCAGTAAGTAACCGTCCTTTATCACACCTTAACAAAAGAATGGCTTCTACTGTACTGTGACATCTTTTAGGTCCCCAAAAGAAAAAGAAAAAAAGCCATACATTTAAATATCTGATCTAGCTTTCAATTAACCATTTTCAACTAAAAATACAATCTCTTACCTTTAAAATCATCTCTAGAGTCTTTTCCTTCCTTCTTGTTCATTTTTATCTCTGAGTTGTTAGGTGCACCTTTTGAGTTCTCAAGATAAGCTGAGCTTGCTCCTTTCTTGGAGGGATGAGGATCACAGAGTTTTGCATTAATTTTATAAAGCTCAAGGGCCTTAATAGCTGCTGCATTGTTATCCATACGAAGGAAAGTTGGGCAGGAAGCACAAAACTCATTCGTGCAGGCCTCATTTCCACAGCCCTCAGTTAACTGGTGGTAGTAGCGCTCTATTAGATGCTTTGCAGCTGCTCGCTTCCTGTACCAGACATTCGAACAATAAGCACAGTGATTAGTATAGCTCAAAAATAAAGCCCGACAGATAAGGCAAAAGTTAGCTAAGCAATGAAGCAATAAACTAAATATTTATATGTAGAAACTGGAAATTCACTATTTAATCGCCCCCACCAAGTGTTAACTAGTGAAATACTTTCAAAAGTAAAATAGTACTTTCTAAAATACTATGATAAAATATGCCATCTTATAAAAATTTCCTTTTAATAAGGTATGCTTTTCTTTGGTTTAAAAAAGATAAACTTAATCTGATGGTTTATGACTCTTAAACTGTTTAGCATAACAGAAACAAAAACCATAAAAATCTTGGGTGCATTATCACTATGTTGTATCTCCATGCCAGTTTTCCTTTTCACTACATATAAAATTACAAATTCATTCTAGTAACTCTCAAATACTTGATTTTTCAGTTAACACCAAATTTCTTTCTAGAGTGTAAGAGTTTTTTTTTTTTCTCAATTAACAATCATGAGAGATTTAAAAGTACTTTACAAATAAACCTAAATCACATAATACACTAAGAGAAAGCAGCACCAAGGCATACATCCTTAGCCCATACTTGTAACTAACCCTGTTCATTAAATCCTTGTCCTAGGAAGACAAACATTTTAATTTCCATTATGGCAAACTCATATGGATCTTACTTTATCAACTTTATGCATGAAAATTAACATTCAGTTATCATTTTCAGGCAGAAAATAAAATTTAAGGAATGACTATGTTACCAACCAAAAAGTTGTTCTCATAATCTAACTTTATATTTTGATTCTAAAATTATCCCAATTTAAGTAGAATTGTATACTTGGTCCACAGTAATATAAATCAAAAGTATCCTTTTGGATCTAACATTACAAGCAAGTAGGAAGGATGTACCTAATTTCATTCTTAAAGCTTCATGCCATTATTTTGCTAATGTATAAAACTATGTGAACAATGGCACTAGAGGTGAACAAGTAGTAAGTCTTAGAACTATGGCTCCAAACAACACAAGTAAATGACAAAGAATGGTATGTCAAATACTGCTAACTCATTCAGGTGCTTACATTCAGAAAATATTCCACGTACATTTACCGCACATGGCATGCATACAGAATGACCCACAGGCCATGGAGTTTGATCCCTGGATCCCACTTGGATAAGGAGGAAATAAATTACTACAAGTTGTCCTCTGACCTCTACCCACACACCATAGCATATGCCCAGTCACATACATCCACAGAAAATAAGTAAAAGTAATAAAGTCTAAATGTATTGTATAAGTTAGAAATCATACTTATCAGAAAAAGTGGTCAATTAACAAAAACATACTTCCCAGTATCTAGGGAAACCTAGTAAAAGTGATCTGCTTCAAAAAACTGACAGCACTCATCATATGAAATAGTTACCAATACCCTTGCTGTTAAATCTCTAAGAAAGGCCAGTGACCAAGTTATAGATGTAGGATGAACCTGTTTGTTTCAAAACATTAAATATTTTCTAAATGATATGACTGAGTTAATTCTCAAATGCGTTTTTTTCTATAAGTATGTACTTAAATAATAAAAATTACTAAGTATCAGTAGGAAAGATCAGTTATACAAATCCATCTACATGATTTGAATGGGCCCAAAGTTTATTTATATATCCATGATTTTTAAGTATTAATTTTGAATTTCAAATTACTTTTCTTAAGAGAACTAAGTTTTGTCTGAAAGCCCAAAAAACTCTCACTGTATATATAAAATGCTTCTCTACATGATAAAGATTTGGAAGAATTTAGAAAATTCAAGAGTGATCTCCCTAATTTTCTAGGCCTCATTTTACTATCCTGAGTCCTTTAACTTGCCTAGCACTCTCTGAATGCCCAGTAATAAACTCAGAACATTGCCAGGTATTCTGATTATCATGTGAAATCTGACCTTGAATATTATCTTTAGTCTTCCTCCAGTAAAAGAGAAAAGAAAGTGAAAAAGTCAAATCTTGTAATTGAAATCTTACACCCATAACCAGTAAAGGAGTCAGGAAGAAATTCCAGCTTCAGAATCCAATTTATTTCCAATCACTGTTTTACAGATAATAATTTCAGAACAATTACTTCTTAACAGCAGAAAGTTCTAAGAACTTTTAGGATAGAAAAAAGTCACGCAAGTAATATATAATTAGAGCATAAAACCTTCCCAAAAAATTCCAATCTGAAATTCACAATCATGTGAACTACCTGGACACAGTATAGAAATTTCCTGAATAAATGACCTCACTGTTTTATGTAAGTTAATATAGCTCTAGTTTATTGAAAACAGATGTGCTAGGCACTTTCTAGGCAGGCTAAGTATAGAAGTCTGAAACTGCAGCAGTCAGAATTTCAGTTTTGACACCAGATTGTTCAGGTTCACATACAGGTTCTGTAACTGAATTAACTAATTAGGCCTTCTATGTCTCAGCCTCTGCCTGCTTAGGATGATCTTTATATTTCAGAATTCTGATGATTTAAGAATCACAAGTGCTTAGACTATTTTGCTAGATTTTGGAAGAGGTAGGAGGAGCAATAAGAGGTAAAGACCAAAATTCATTGTATCATGCACAAAATCCTTAAATAATTAACAAACTATTATATTTTCCTAAAAAGAAAAAATATTACCTGCTACATACTGGCTCTACTGGTATCGGATACTACTGCAATTGTTATAATTGCTTTCATTTGCACAAATATATGACTTGTTTTGCTAGATTTCGGAAGAGTAGAAGGAGAAATCGAAGGTGAAGATAATCAAAATTCATTGTATCATGTACAATATTCTTAAATAATTAATGGAATATTTTATTTTCTTAAAACAAAAAAAAAAATACCTATTACATACTAGACCCTATTGATAAGTACTGGCAGATACTACTGCAACTGTTGTAATTGCTATCATTTACAGAAGTATATGACTTGACCAAGAGAACTTCCATTCCACTAAAGCTCAGAGGAATGACACAAGAAGCCATCCATTTGATAAAAGATTAAAATTCAGGGTTAATTCCAAAATTTGAATGGGGGGGGGGGGGGCGAGCAGTCTTACCAGGCCACAGAGGAAGACTAAGCAGCCACTCCTGATGAGACCTGATAGACTAGGATCAGAGAGAAGAGGAAGAAGACTTCCCTTATAAGTGGACTGGGCCACAGGTGGGGAAGAGGGGGGAAGGTGAGATTGGGAGGGGATGGGGGAGGGAGCTACAGGAGGAATATAAAGTGAATGAACTGTAATTAATAAAAATAAATTATAGCTCATTTGTCAAATCTAGACATCCACCCCTTTTTTCAACAGTTCAAGCTTAAAATATTTTGCATTCTTATATCATTGGAAAAAATACTTTGCTTGTGTAAAAAATTGAATAAAAATTTAATTTCCATGTACATAATTTCTAATATAACAGTAAATTTCAAGTATTTATGTTTTCTCTATGGCCTCTATCACTTGGACCTAACCAAAATAAAATGACCATCAACTTACAATCAATTCCTTGTGCACACCAGTGAAACTTTTCATCTAACCACCTAGCCTCCTTACTTTTTCTCTTTCTCTCAGAAAAGGAATGTAATAAATTTCTATGCTCCCAAGTATTAATTTAAAAAAGGGTGGGTAGGGGAGGAAGAAATGACATAGAAAGAAAAGAGGAAAGTGAATAAGTCAGGAAATGGAAGTCTTTTGCCTGGCATTCATAACCAAAACTCTGCAAAGACAAAGTACTGATGATTACTTTTAGCTTCTTCATATTCATTTCACTGACTTTTCTTGCAAATCAAAGTTGTGTAGCTTGGTGTTCTGGTGGGACAAGTCATGGGAGTGAGGGTTATCTTTGACTCTTTTTCCAGGTTTTGAGATTCTTCTCCTCCTACAGGGTTGCCTCATCTAGCCTTGAAATGAGGGTATGTGCCTACTTCTATTGTAACTTGTTATATCCTGTTTGGCTAATATCCATGGGAGGCATCATCATTTCTGAAGAGAAACAGAGGAGGAGTGGAGTACTTCTAAGGGAGATATAAAACAAGGCAGTTTTCATTTAAAAATATAAATCAACACTAAAAAAGCTTTTATTCATTTTTATTGTCCCCATGACCACGCGTCAGCTGTAAAAATAAAACCGTACAATTAGAATTTAACATAAAATTATTCATCTTTAAAGTGAAGAAGCTGCTAGTGATGTTTTTCTTTTTAGCTGCCCTATTTCACAGTTAGAAGAAAAGTAAGTAAACTTTTAAAATTTAGAAATTGAATAAAAGAGTTGGAAGCATGCAGGGGTAGATGCATACAACCAATAATACTGTCTAAACAGATGAAACTTTCAAAGAATATCATTTTCAAAAATAGTTTCTTATCCAAAAGTATGGATTATAACCTCAGCTTTTCTTGTCTTCATCTGTAAACAGAGGGTGAAATTGGCTGTTTGCCAGGAATACTAGTTTTAGAACTTCTATATTTCTCAAGAATTCTGAAAATGGAAAACTGTTCCGTATTAGTGTAGAAGTAGAATACCACTGCTATACAAATATTAAGAACCCAATAGTCATTTAACCTGTAGCTTATTCCCTTGCCAGTCTTCCTTACTGCTTAAAAATAAAATTTTAAAACTAGATTTTGCCCAATTCAGTTTTCAAGTAGAACATCTATTTAATATGGCCATAATTACAAATACATAACTTATTATATATAAACATTTATTATACTATTTTGTACATCTAAGAATTAAGAGCTAAATAAAGTAACAAATTACTTGCAATATTGTTTCTGTAATATAATTCTGAAGTTGCCAGTAATAAAGTTTAAGATTTTATTTTAATTGTTGCATAATCACATTACCCACCCTATTTTTACAGGTGATTCATATTTGTGATTTAAATTAAAAAAAATGTCAATGAGGGAAAGCTAGAACAACCTTTAAAAGCTTAAATTCCAAAGTCATCAAAACAAACATCTAAAAAAAATAAAAAACAAAATATATTTT